TTAGTGTTTCTCAGTCTCAGCATTATTGACATCTCAGATAGTTTTTGTTGTGGGGGACTATTGTTGAGTTATAGGATAGTTAAAGCATCCCAGCCCATAGATGCCAGTAACTCCCCTACATCCCCTCCCCACAAGTTGTGACAACCAAAAACGTCTCCAGAAGTTGCCACATGTCCATTGTTGAGGGGCAGAATTGACCCTGGTCGAGAACTGTTGATCTAGTTCTTTTCACTGTTATAAATAGTGTGGCTAAGAATGTCTTTACTAAATAACTTTCGAGGTTTTCCCTTAGACTTGATCTTCCATAAAGTGGAATTTGAGTCACAGGGCACAAATAGTTTTATAATTTTAAAGACTGAAGGGTACTTTTTGGTTCTAGAAGCAGCTCTGGTGTTCACTCTTGAGCTTAAGTTTTGGTGGAGGTGGTATTTGCTCCTCTAAGAAGCTTTTCTTGGTAGCTCATCCTCTCTTTTAACTCTACCCCTCAGGGCTTGGACTGTGGTCCTGAAAGCAGCAAGAAGTATGCTGAGGCTGTTGCTCGGGCTAAGCAGATTGTGTGGAACGGACCTGTGGGGGTATTTGAATGGGAAGCTTTTGCCCGGGGAACCAAAGCCCTCATGGATGATGTCGTGAAAGCCACTTCCAGGGGCTGCATCACAATCATAGGTAAGGGGTCCTTTACAAAGCTAATACCACTGTGAGCTGGCAGAATTCTGATCAGAGGAAGGTAGAAGGTAGTACTTTTCCTAGGTCTCTTCACTCTGGGCAAATCTGGAGAGCTAAGCAGGTGGATAATTCATGGAAGAGCCTCTTAAGTGAAATGGAATTGGGAGTTTTGGTGCCAATCCTCCTTTTCTTTTCTCTCCTTTCTCTTTTTACCTGGCTTTCATTTAACAGGTGGTGGAGACACTGCCACTTGCTGTGCCAAATGGAACACGGAGGATAAAGTCAGCCATGTGAGCACTGGGGGTGGTGCCAGTTTAGAGCTCCTGGAAGGTGAGGTTCTTCCCTGTTTTTTGGCTTGTTTGGGGGAATAGAGTAGGGACTGTGCAGTGAGAGGCGGGTAGGATGGAGTAGAGAAAGTTAGTAGGTAGTGTTGTCATTAGAAGTCATTATTAGCTGGGCAGTACAGATGGAGGAACTTCAGTAAAGCTCCTAGCATCCATGTGAGGTGGGAAGGGGCAGATAGGAACTTGTTCTCAAGGAGGTCACTTTCTAGTAGACCTAGGACCCAAAATCCAAAAGTTGCCCAACTCCTGGCCATATATAAAGCAGCACTGACATGTTGAGAAGATAGAAGGGGGGCATATCTGGTTTAGTGGACCCTACAGTAATGCTGTCCGTGTGTGTGCTCTCTCAAAAACAGGTAAAGTCCTTCCTGGGGTGGATGCTCTCAGCAATATTTAGTACTTTCCTGCCTTTTGGTTCCTGTGCACAGCCCCTAAGTCAACTTAGCATTTTATGCATCTGCACTTGGCATTAGTTAAAACCTTCCTCCACGTCAAGATTCAGCTAGTGGCCAGGAGATGCAGTGCCAGGAACTTATGAACAGTTGCACAGCATCTCAGCTCATCTTTACAGCACCCTGGATTTGCCTACATTCTTCAAGATCCCATTTGAATTTCTTAGTGACTAAACCATTGTGCATTCTAGAGTGCAAATATTTATATTTTGCCTGTTAAAAGAAAGTGAGCTGTGTAAGCTTAGTTCTCTTTTTGAAGTCGCTTATTCTGATTAGCTTTGTCACTGTTTCACTACTCAGCATGGAAACAAGATGAAATTCCAGTTGTAGGTAGGGAGACAAAGTTGATGATCTGTTAAATAAACAATAAAAGTATCTATTGAAACGGATTTTTTTTCTGTCATACTTTGTAGGAAGGGTGAGAATAGAATCTTAAAGAAGGGCTCAAATATCTACATTTCTGAATGTAAGAAGTGGGGCAGCAGCAGTGGGGAGGTGGGGCGATTAGATCAATGTCTACTCTTTATCAAGGGCCTACTTTATGGTAGACATTGTGCTGGTGCTTTAAATTTTATCAGTTACACATCATAATTTAAAAAGTCAAGGTTTACAACAACAACAACAAAAAAACCAACCAACCAACCAAACAAAAAAAATAAGCTGTAACCCATTCCTCCTATTCAGGATCCCCACTACCCAGAGATAACTACTTTTAACTCTTCAGAGTTCTTCTAGTATTTCCCTCTATGTTTTCTAAGTAACATGTTTATAAATTGTTAACTTCTTGATTTTTTTAAAAAAGATATCAATTTCATACCATGGGAGATTTAACTCTATTATAGCCTCTGTTCCACATATACTTCCACTTCTTCATTCTCTCAGCAGTTTTGTCATAATTATAGATTACATCAAAAGTCTACATTATGATTATAAATACTATTCGCAGCTGAGCTGTGTACTATGCTGTGATTATATTTACTTATGTAACTTTTATTCTCTTTGGTGTTAATAGTTTTAAAAGAATTGCTTCCTCTTTTTCTATGTATACTTGTCACTGATTTATTCCCAAATCTGCCAGAAGTGTAAATGCCTCAATATAGTCAAACATATCGAATAATCTGTTAATTTTTATTAGAGATATCCCTGTTGGAGTCCTCGGTGCTCCTGCTTCAGTTTGTACTGACTGCCTTATAGATTTGCTGTACAGCGTTGCTCTGGGATTCCCTGTAACCCTCTTAGGGATTCCTTCCATTTCCTGTTTTGGGCCTTCGTTTTCTGGATCTCCCTTTCCCTTCTTTCTTGGTCTACTCTTTTGTGGAACACAAGACTCCACTAGTTTCCTTAGAAAGAGGGCCTGGGAGGTAAAATCTTTGAGACCTTTCATGTCTGAAAATGTGTTTATTCAACCCTTATACTTGATGCATAGTTTGGCTATATATAGAATTTTAGCCTGGGTATCACTTTCTCAGACTTGAAGACATTGTTTTCATTGTCACTGTTGAGAATCTAATGCCATTCTGATTATTTTATCATCCCTATGATTTTCCCTTCCTATCTCTTTCCGGTCATTTTAATGGAGTTTTGGGAGAAAGCAGAGGTAAACATGATTTGCAAAGGCCATGTTTAAGCAGAAATTTTATGCAGGGCACTTTACATGCAAGATATGTATTTTACCTTTATGGATGAAGAAATAGTTAAACTCTTGGACAGGATCACAGAGCTAGTAGGTAACAGCAGAGATTCAAATCCGGGTTTGTCTGGCTCCAAATACTGATGCTTTTTCATTGTGTTTCCCTCCCTGATATGATGCTTCTAGACTAGGATTTCTTTGCTTAATCTTGGAGAGAAAAAGCAAAAAATTTTGGTGGTAGCTTTAAACAAAACAAAAATTTTGAAAGCTCATTTTTTCTTGGTTTATTTGTATTTTGGTTAATACTGTCCCCATATTTGTAGTTAATTTTAAATTGTACCATGTTTCTGTATATCTCAAAGGGTACTATTCTACACTGGTTTGAGAAGCAGGAATTCTTTTTGTAGATGAAGCCCTGAGATGCTGCCAGTAAATTAATGTTGCAGCTGTGTTAGAACTTTGTCAAACTTTTTTCCCCCAGTGATTACCTTTTCTCCAAAAATTTATTATTTCCAGTGTACAGAGGAATTGAAATTGTACAGTAAACATCCATAAACTCAGTACTTATACTCTATAATTGCCAACATCATCTATCCAACAATCCCTAATTGTACCTTTTAAGTATTTTCTATTAGACTCTGCTTCCAGGATCTTCCCCCATTTATTTGGGTTGTTAATCCAGAGAATGAATGGGAAAACTCCAGGCTTAACTTGGCAACTAGCCAAATATTTGAGTACCTGCCATGTGCTGAGGACATGATGGAGGGAATATAAGATAGCATTTGTGTCCTGAAGGAATTTATAACCTAGTCAAGGAAGACAGTAGACAATGAACAACTTAAGAGCACATATACTAGAAAAGTATAAGGATGTGCTTTCTGATTTAATATAGAATTATGAATTGCTGATAAAAAACTGCAAAGGTATATGCTTTAAGTGGTAAATTCACTTTTATCCCTCAGACCATATATATATATGCCTGTGTACAGAAAAAAATATAATCACCATGTTATAAACGAAAAATTCAATCTATTCTTTAGGTCAGTGTTTCCTGCTTTCCTTTTCATGTCCAAAATTTCCCTCTAGCACAGGGGTGTGCATGTGATCAAAAATCAAAAAGGGGTATACAATGAGAAGATGCCTTCCTCAGTCCCCTAGCTACCAATTTCTTTTCTATCTAGAGCTACTTAATAGATATATAAAAAACATATTCATGTATATATAAAAATATAAATGGTGGCATACACTGCTCTGAACCTGCTGTTTTGATTAGTCTTTTCTTTCCTATCTCTTGAGTAATTCCCTTCACTTTGGGTCCCCTTTACCATAGTGTGCATCTCATCTTCCATTTCCCTCCCATGCTGGCCGTATTCCTATATTCATACTCACATCAGAGACACTTGTTTCCTACTTGTTGTAAAAGGAAGAACTGGAGATGACAGTGTCCTTACCCCATTCACCATCAGTACATATTTTAAAAAATTCCACCTAGAAGCTGAAGGATAAGAGCTGCCTTAAGTCATTCTTGAAGCTAGATTTAGCTGGAAGTAATGTGGGGAAGGGGAGAGCAGCAAGATGAAGCAGTCTTCATCTGAAAGAGCAAATCATCCACCAGCTGACCTGTTAAGTGAATGAACGCTCACATTGCAACCTCAATCATACATATAGGTACCCACCAAAGACAAGAGCATGTTACGTTTTTAACAGATTTAAGCCCATGTTCTTTCACTCATTTTCATTTTGCTTTACTATGATGAGTCATGCTGATTCCAAATAAAGTAAGCAGTTCCCTGAAATACAACGAATTCATACACTAAACAAAAATCTTAATTGCTTTTTGGCCCTCAGAATTACTGGGCCTTGTTCCTTTTCCTTGAATCCCATAAGTCAAAAAGGAAAGATCACTGATAAGCTCAAGTATTTATTAATAACCTTGAAACAAATACACTAATAATAATTCCTTGTGGTCATATAGCATTTTACAATTTTGAAAGAACTTTCACATATACCAGTTAAACCCTCACAACATCCCTGTGAGGTAGGCAGGGTGTTACTTTCCTATTACTAGTGAGGAGAACAAGGCTAATAGGTGAAGTAAGGTCACATAGTTGGTAAATGATGGAGCTAGGAATAGAATCTAGGCCTTCTGACATGCTGCCTCCCTGAGAACATTCAAGTAATGACACCCTATGCTATATCATCAACATTTCTCTTCTATGATGTTGGTCAGGTCTGTTTTGTTAATAAGTTACATCACCTTTCCCTAATATCCAAAAACACTCAAACTGTGATAAGATAGTTCTTGCCCATTACTGGAGTATTTCTCAGATGTATCAAAGCACCATCCTGAGATGAAACTTATGTTTAAGTTTTGAGGATCCTTTGCTACAAATTCTAAATTATGATATGAAAATTTATTTTAGAAAATTCTGCAAAAGTATGTTGAGTATGTTGAACTTAACAGAAACAAAACAGGTCTGTTTATATTCTCAAAAGCTTTGCAATCTTTCCCAATAAGACTTTTAGACATGTATAAATGGAAAATAGGGAAAGGTATTTAGCAACATTACTACATTACTGGGAAACCTATGCAGAGCGTACCTAAATGCAAAGTCACATCACACTCATTTGTTTTCCTTGTTGGCCTTGTAGAGGATGGAGAACGATTAGTATCTATTTTTAGGTTTGATCCTCATTTTATGTGTGACATCCTCAGCAACAAGCTAGAAAAATGATCTGAATTATACCAACAGGAGGGTTCAAGCAGTAGTAATCAAAACATATATGCATGTGGTAGAAAGGAAGAAAATACTTGCTCTTCAGTGGTTTTGCCTGGGTCCAGTGTAAATATTTATCAAAGCACATTTTAAGCTATAGCATCTGTTAAATTTAGAAATGTGAAATACAGTAGAGTTATCAACTTGGAATACAAGACAGAAACTGAATATAAGTGACCCAAAACTACCTGTTAAAAGCACAGTAAAGCTCAACAGGCATAAAAGGCAAGGGATAGAACATAATTTGCTCTAGTATGGAGTGAAAAAGAACAAACGCAAACCCTCAGGTTAAGGTGAACCACAGAACATCGGGCATATAGAGCATGTTTTAGAAATATGAAAATGACACTGAGCTGTGTTATCAGGAATGATATTTCAAAAATTTCAGTTATGGCCTTTTAAATTTAAGAGCAATGGGGAGAAACTTAAGATTATGGGGGGAGTGCAGAAAATGAATGGGATATAGAAAGGGAGTTGAGGTGGGAAGTTAGGGAAAACCAAGAACCAAGTTAAATTCATTCAAAATGGATTTAGAATCTCTCTAAATCCATCCTTTTCAAAAGATGTTTCCTAAGTTGAGAGATTTGGTCAAAAGCTAGTGACAGTAAAAGTGACTGTTTTACCTTACAAAAGAAAGTATTTAAATGTAGATTAGAAATTATGCTGTTAAAAATTAGTCCACTGACCAGGCTGTAGAACCTGAAACTTAAGTGCTGTCAGTGACACATAGCAGAAAACTGCCTCCAAGAATAGAATTGCCATAGTAGGACTCGACATTAATGAAACTATTAAGAAATAAGTACTTAACTTTTTGTACTTGAAGCCTAATGAAAAAACATTTGTCCTTTCACTAAAAAGGAATCTAACAGTTTTAACTAATGTGAAAAATATGCAGCTACATTTATTTTTTAAGGTAAAACTTGAGAAGGTCTAGAACATTCTAGTTCAGTATACTGGGCTCAAAACCAACTATACTTTTGAAATGCATCTAGACTAGACTATATGCCTTACATAGTATCATTGTCATCATCATCTTCGTGTTTTCTCTTCAGTGGGTTTGATTCATTGGCCGTGTTCTGTGATGAAACCATGTTGGTAGTAATAAGAATATTTTTGGACCCAATCATTGAAGGATTAATCAGAACATTTTGAACTGCAGTTGTTGCAGGAACTGTAAACAGAGAAGAAAGCCCCCGCAAACTATGAATTACACAGAATCCAAAACATGGTAGAAAGTATACAACAAAGCTGAATGTAATTCTAATACCAATTTCAATAGCATGAAGTACATCATAGAAGAGACACGGGTAATTATATTGCATTAGGAGTAGAATTAAATTTTTAAAAATCTTTATTATTTATTTATTTTTAATTGGCAAATAATAATTGTGTATATTTATGGGGTACAATGTGATGTTTTGATCTATGTATATACGTAAAGATTAAATCAACTTAAATGTATCAAGTACAAAGTTCAAGAAGTTCTATTATATTTTAACTTCCTAAAATTTCAGTTAGTACTTAGTCATGGGAAACAATGGACTGGATTCATCATGCAACATACTAAAGGCACAAGTTCAAGGTCAGGAATCATTCTTTCCTTAGGCCGATATTTTATATAAGTTGTTTATTGTATGAGGTTAGGTTTCAGAAGATTTAAAAGCTAAACATATGAATTAGTAAACTATGCTGTAACAGGATTCTACTTACATTATTCCAACACATACAATGCCTATTAAATGAGTAAAGGTACAATTTTCATTTAAATTTACATTTATGTTTTGAATTGTGTACACATATTCATCACTAAATTGTATCATTTTCTTGAGCTTTTACCCTCAAGTGTTTTTCCCTGAAAATGCCTTAGATTTGTGGACCCTACCTGTTTAGTTCACAGTGTTCTTTAAGAATTTGACAAGCATGTTGAATACCCTCCTCTCCTGAAAATGTTACATATGCAGCCGTCCCCCCGCCCCCATCTGCAGTTTCACCTTCCACAGTTTCAGTTACCTGCAGTCAACCATGGTCCAAAAGTAGATGAGTACAGAACAGTAAGATAGTTTGAGAGAAAGACCACATTCACATAACGTTCATTACAGTGTATTGTTATAATAGTTCTATTTTATTATTATTGTTGTTAATCTCATACTGTGCCTAATTTATAAATTAAACTTTATCATGGGGACGTATGTATAGGAAAAAGCGCAGTATATATAGTGTTTGGAACTAACTGAAGTTTCAGGCATCCCCTGCGGGTCTTGGACTGTATTCCTCACAGATAAGGGAGGGAGTACTACTGTATGTAAAATTTCGTTCAATTTTTTAAGGCTTACAGACCCCTCTGAAGAACCCTGACTTGCAGCATTACTGTCACCTTCCTGTTATATTAAAACAATCTAACTCTTGCCATAGGAACACAAACTGTTCTACAGTTGCGAATTATTCACAAATTCTGTCCCCCCTCCCCAAATCACGTTACCTGGTTTGACAGGTGTGGACTGAGAAGGTGGAATCTGCACCGTAAATCTTTGGCTTGTCACTGACACTGGAGTTGCAACTTTATTAGGGACAGATACTGTTTGTGGGGTCGCTGTAGTTATAATTAACAGACCATATTAGTTAGATACAGATTTATAGTCTGCATTCCTTAGCTTACCAGAAACTACCTTCAAAGCTCAGAGAACTAATGAAAGATGAGAAAAAAATCATTAGAAATAAGAGCAAAGTAACTTTTAAAAAAAGTTTACAAGCTTGTTTAGATGCTACAAAATTCACTACAGCATGGTGGTAAAGAATGTAGGCTCTGGAGCCTACCTGCTTGAGTTTGAATCCAGGCCCTATCACCTACTAGCTGAGTGTCCTTGGGCAAGTTATTTAAATTGTTTGTACCTCAGTTTTCTCATCTGTAACATGGGGATAATAATATGTAATTCACAGAATTCTTGTGAGAATTAAATAAAATAATCCATGTAAAGCTCTTTGAACAGCATCTGGTACATAGTAAGCACTGAATTTTAGCTAGATGAAGCTATGAAATTGAGAGTTTAAATAAACTACCAAAATAAAGACCCAAGTTTTCTATCAACTACCTTAGTTGTCACTTTTAAGCTCTGTCACTTGCTGACGATTAGGTGTCTTCTGTGCCCATGAAGCTAAAACAGTATGCATCTAACAAAAGTAGCTGATCAAATACACCCCTTGGGGTTCCTACGTGGGCACCAAAAATTTGTTCCTTTTCTATGTTCAGAGACTTTTTAAGCAGAGAGGTATCTTGGAGATAAACCTAGTATAATCCTCTTATCTAAATTCTACCCATTTCAAGTTACGACTCAAATACCACCCCATTTTATAAGACTTTCCTTACTTTGCTCAGTTAAAAGTCTTATCTCCTGCCTCTGAAATTCCCTTAATGTATCATAGGAGTCTTATTATTATATCTTCTCTCATTGACTAGATTACAAGCCTTGGCTAACATTCTTCATCCTTGGCAGCACATGGGTCTTGTGCCTTGCTCCTAACAGGTACTCAACAAATGTTTGCTTAATCAATAAATTCTAAGACTTAAAGACTTTATATACTGACTCTCTCAAAAAATACATTTACGGAAACATGTCTGTTTCCAATTTTTCCTTTGGGGATGCAGACTTTACATCACCTCCCTTCCCCCTGAACCAGCAGGCTACCCAGGAATAGAGTTGCTGAAGAGACTACAACTATCATCAACTCTAGGGACAAAGGGGAAGAAAGCCTAAAGGTACCCAGAAGTCTGGGTTCTAGTGCTTTATCTCCCAAACCCAGAAGGTGAGACCTTACTCGAACATATCTCCATCCCAAGGTAAGTTTTCCCATGTATTAAGGAGCAGTCCAAAGAATTTGGTGAAAGTTAATGAAGCAATGTAAGTATTTTATTTTGTCAAAAGAAGAAAAATCCACAATATGTAGATTTTTTTGGGCCTAAGGATTTACATTTAAGCAAGTATGGAGTTTAGGCTTTAAAATCGAACAGAGTAGATGCTTAGGTCTTAAGGTTTATACAATTCATTTAAATTTTTTTAAAGTTTACAACTTATACCTTTAGTAGTTTTTGGTAGTGCCTTCACTCTAGATTTAAAAAATCGGTAAAGCGTTTACAACATATGTCTAACTAGGAATAAAAATCACAATTGATAGCTAAAATTGGTTAACTTGCCTAACACGTGTAATTGATTACCACAGCCTAGGGTTTTTTTTTTTTTTTAAAAATTGGTATCCAAGATGGGCTTGGAACATCTTGTTGTATCAGAAAGCTAAGAAATGCTCACAAAATGATGGAGATTAGTCAAAAAGGACAAAGAAAACACCTTGAAGGGACTCCCGCTGACCAATACAGGACAATCAGAACTATGTTATAAAAAGGTTAGTATTAAAAGCAGAACTATTTTTTCTTTGAGATCCTTAAGCTTTTTGGGCCAGGCACAGTGGCTTATGCCTGTAATCCTGGCACTCTGGGAGGCTGAGGCGGGAAGATCGCTTGAGCTCAGGAGTTTGAAACCAGCCTGAGCAAGAGAGAGACCCACTTCTACTAAAAATAGAAAAATTAGCTGTGTGTTGTGGTGCCCGCCTTGTAGTCCCAGCTACTTGGGAGGCTGAGGCAGGAGGATCGCTTGAGCCCAGGAGTTTGAGGTTGCAGTGAGCTACAATGATGGCATTGCACTCTACTTGGGGAGACAGAGCGAGACTCTGTCTCAAAAACAAAACAAAACAAAAAAAAACCTTTGTGTACACTTTAAACTTTCACTGTATTTTCTTATCAATTTATTCATAAATTAATTTTTAATAAGTAGGCTACTACTGCTGTGTGTTTGGCAACTTCATTTGTATAGAAGATGGAAAGAACACAGTTAAGAAAAAAACTCTTGGTTTTATTATCATAGTTTACACTAACTATAATATTGGGCAATGGTCCCATTTCATACTCATTTGGGATCAGATAGTTCTTGTGGCTCTCTCATTTTGAAATCCAGTAAAATGTATGTTTATAGTTTATAGAGGATGAGTAAAATTATCAGTGGTAACACACATACAGGAATTTCTGACTCACCTTTAGACCTGGATCATAGTTCAAAACCAAGTGCTGAGACACTACCAGCCAGAAAAGCTATTTCCCCCACTTACTTACCTATAGTAGGAGTGGTAGGTCTGCTATTGACAGCACCAACACTTAACCGTGGAACTAGTCTTCCTTGGTTAGGTCCCTAGAGAATTTAAAAAACAAATTCGTTTTAATGTTGCTAAGATTTGACACCTAGATTTACAGGAGTGAAATTAGGATTGTTGATGAGAATTTTTTTTTTTTTGAGACAGGGTCTTGCTTTGTCACCCTGGCTAGAGTGCAGTGGCATCATCATAGCTCACTGCAACCTCAAACTCCTGGGCTCTAGCGATCCTCCTGCCTCAGCCCCTCAAGTAGCTGGGACTACAGGTGTGCACCACCACACCCAGCTAATTTTTCTATTTTTTGTAGAGACAGGGTCTCGCTCTTGCTCAGGCTGGTCCTGAACTGACCTCAAGAGATCCTCCTACCTTGGCCTCCCAGAGTGCTAGGATTACAGGTGTGAGCCACCATGCCTGGCCTGTTGATGAGAATTATTAATGGATAATCCATGGCAAGAATGTCCTATTTTTGTTCTATCAGTGTTCTAAACCCAACATTTAAACTAGGGCTTTCACAAACATATACATGTATTTATATAAACATAGAT